TGGGAGTACCCTAGGAAGCTCTTAATAGAGGTTTGTCTTCAAAGCTTTCCCATTTAAGCATCCTTGGACAATTCTTATGATTTGCAAATGAATGGCAGCCTTTTATTTTTTCCCAATTTCAGTCATTACCATTTGATGTTATATGTGCTCCCAGAGTGTCTCTCCGGCGTTATGGTAGAAATAATATTGGATTTAGGGAAGAAGGAAATTCACTTATCTCTTCCCAGACAATTTTTCTGATCTGGATTCTGTACAGAGAAAAGCTGAGTGACACAGTTCCTGGAGTATCTTGTTTTTGGGACAAACACATTGTGCCTGGAAAGTCAATAACAGACCTGGGATGAGGAGGAATGCTATCAGATACAGGGGTCTCATCTCAGAAAAATGTTACAGAAGATGAAGATTGCCCCTAGTGGAAAACAAGTGGTGTCACAGAAACAAAAATCCAATTTTTTCGGAGCCTATGGGAATTCTGATCTCATACACAGGCATGTTCAATGAGTTCATATGATACCTATATCCAGTAATTCCGGATACTGTCACTGCATCTTACCCTATCTTATCCATTTGCAAAGATCTAGCTCCAATTGTATGTTATCTGCTCTCACAGCTAGTGAATTTAGAGAATCAGATTAATTTTATTTTTTTTAAGGGACCTTCCTAATTCAGTTCAGGGAATGGGCACCAGAAAAAGAGGGTACAGCATCCACCAGCTGGAACACTATAATTAACTGAGGTCTCAGCGCATGGCTTCTTCCATGAATAACAGACCTGTTCTAGTGACGACAGTCAGTGTGTCCAATAGGGTTTTCATAATGACTAGCAAGAACACATTCAGCCCTACCCCGGAGAGAAATTTGCTTGTTCTTGGCAGAACAAAGTCTCCTGTCTCTAGGTGCACTCCCCACCAAAGGGAAGATTAACACCAAGATTTACATGGCAGAAGTTGGATTATCAGAGTGCCTCTGTCACAGGGTGGCTGGCCCCTTTAAATGAAGCAGGTCCAGCTCCCCTGTGCTAGAACAGGTGCTCCCGGTTGGTTAATTAAGGGGGGGCAGCAGCATCTGGGGCTGTGAAGAGCCAGGCTGTCAGTAAGGAAAGAGGAGCAACAGGAAGGTCCCTGGTTTCTACAGTGCCAAGAGGGAAGGCAATGGGAACCAACAGGGGTGGCGGGGAGAGGGGAGGATGGCTTCCAGGGAGAAAGCTGGGAGGCAGTGCTCTGTGAAAAGAGCAAGGAAGAATCCTGCAGTAGGCCCTGAAGCAGGAAAGATTGAGGTGCTATAATCCAGGGTGCACCAATGAACTGTTTTTGTTTTGCCTATGTTTGGAACATAAAACTGTGCCTGGAAAGAGACTCTGGGTATGGCAGTGAGTCCTTCAAGGTCTGGGGACAAACCAGCACCTTACCAGCTTCTAAACCCAAGAATATCTCTCACATCATCAGTCAGTTTGGTCAGCTGGTGATCAACTGCTTTGCACCTGGAAACAGTAAATAAAGTGCCTCTCTGTGTCTGGACACATGGGAGGAGGTGGTGAGTGATGTCACGCAAAGTCCTTGCTATGCTTTCTTGCCTTTTCCACAGCTTCCCAGGACAATAGAGAAGAAAAGAACAGTAGTGATACTGTTTATGCGTTTCTGGCTGAAGAGAGTTTGGCTCTCCAGGTTGATTAACCTAGCAGTGGATTTTTGGAGGTGTCCTTCTCACAAAGGATCCGACCAGACAGCTGCAAAATGAATAGTTGGAGGAAGTGATTTTTGCTCCCATGGACCTCAAGCGAGAGAAGTCAGCAAATAAAACTTACTCTGCGAGATGGTGCAAAGCCTAACTATCATGTTAAATCAGTGAAACATAACCTCGAGTTCCTCCAGGAGGACCTTAATATGGGAATATGAGTGTCCCACAAACAGGTCAGGTCTCTGTAATATAATGTTAGCAGTATGTTCAAGAAAAGGAAACTTTATATATATCCCAATATTTAATGTTTCCTTAAGGCATCAACCTTATTCCAACCTCACAAGGTCATAGAGCATAACCTTGTAACCTCATCTTTCTCCTTACCTCACTACCCAAATGGAACCTCTGCAGCAAGTGTCACCATATTTCCTATCCATTAGAGCAGGCCTCCCAATGGCTACTATCGCCAATCAGATGAGGGTTTTTTAATTTGAAATTTGGGGCTTTCTATGAGACCCAGTATTGTACTTAAATTTCAGCCCAGTAGTCCTCACAATTGTCATAGCATTCATTCCTTAAGTAAACTCAAAAAATAGCCCTGCTTTAGTTATGCGTCACCATCCAGTCCTTAGGAGAACTGGCAATCGCAGAGCAAAATAGTCATATCTCCTGTAATAAGATGTGTTAGTCTGCCATTCATTCACCATATTGGTCATCCAGTGTCAGCTAATGCCATTCCCTTTGTTTTGGAAGAAGTCTTCTCCATGCCTTGGTATCCAGGGGAAGATGGAGGAGATATATAATCTACTTGGTTTTGGATATCTGTATTTAAGAGATGATCCTGCTTCCTATCCTGGAGGCACCGCACTATGAAAACCCATTTTAATTAGCACTAAGAAAAATGGGGAAATGTATCCATGCTTACCTGAAAATTTCCTTTCTTTAAGTAATAAGGTCCACATATCCAGCTGCCCTGAAGACAAATGATCATTCAGAATAGAGATGGAAATCGACATCCAAGGATTTGGGTTTATTGTCATTAGGTAGAATTTACTATGATCTGCAGTAGACTACTTTGTTGTGTTTTTCCTCAAAGTTTATTTAACATGATCTGTAATTTAGAAAAGTAGATTTGAGTTATCCTGGCTGTGGAAGTTTCCTCAACTGGAGAGAACTTCAAGAGGCAGGGCATTCAAGTCTATTCTCTATTGGGTTTTATACCACGCTCATCACCCAAGGGTACATCTTCACTACCCGCCGTATCGGCGGGTAGCAATCGATTTATCCGTGATCGATATATCCCGTCTCGTTAAGACGCGATATATCGATCCCTGAATGCGCTCACCGTCGACTCCGGAACTCCACCAGAGCGAGCGGCGGTAGCGCAGTCGACGGGGGAGCCGCAGCCATCGATCCCGCGCCATCTGGACCCCAGGTAATTCGATCCAAGATACTTCGACTTCAGCTACGCTATTCGCGTAGCTGAAGTTGCGTATCTTGGATCGATCCCCCCCCAGTGTAGACCAGCCCCTAGTATCTGAGTGTCTTCCAGTAGTGCAATTAGCAATGTGATTACACAGCTGTCACATGTTTGTTCTCTTATTCTCTCCCCAAAGTGTGTGCGGTGGAGTGTCTAGGTTTGGTAAGGTATTTTTTTTTAATATCAATGTACCTGTTGCTATGTGTTTATGTCAGAGAAGGCAAGGTGAAAGAAATGTGCCTTGCATTTGGAGTGGAAAGTGGTGGTGTTTGTGATGGTCGTTAATTCCTAGGAGAGATCACTCCACAGTCTCAGAACATCCCTGGAGAACGTTCTGTCTCCCACACAGATGAACTTTACTCTTATTGTTGAGAGTTCTATTGTGCCAGAGGAATGTAGTTGTCAAGCACTCTTCACCCCAGAGCTTTATAGATGATCTTTTAGATACCCTGAGCCCAGGCCAGGGAGTGATTTGAAGATAAAGACTGTGATCTTGAACTTGATTAGCAATTCAAAGGGAAGCCAGCGGAGAGAGTGGAGGACAGGTTTGATATGTTCATGGTAGCCTGTGTTGCAGAGGAGATGCGCTGCAGCATTCTGCACCAGTGGATTTTCCTAAGTGCTGAAGGCTTCATGCCCAAGTATATCACATTGCTGTAGTCCATCTGACAGGTGACAAAGATCAGGTGTTCATCCACCAGGATGGGATGGAGTTTCCTAGCCAAGCAGAGATGGAAAGCATTACATGCAGATGCTACTATGTGAGAGCTCAGTGTTAGCGAGGAATCCAAGAGTACTCCTAAGCTACGGACTGAATTGTCCAATTGTGGGTGTGTATCTTCTACCAACGGAAACTGCACTGAGGCTCGAAGCTCTTCAAAATACTCTCCTCTGCGCACCAGCGTCATTGCTGTCTTGCTCAGGTTCAGCTTCAGACAGCTATTCTTTATCCAAGAGCTGCTTTCATCCAAGTACTGGGCTGTCTTGATGGTAGTGGTGTGGTTGTGTGTGGGGAAGGATAGATAGTGCGGTGTGTCATCTTCATATGCTGACACTTCCCTACTGACAGTTTTGGTTCTGCCCTTGAACTACAAGCAGACTGAAATTAAAATACTCATTGTAATATAACTGTGGACCTTATTACTTGAATAAAGGAAATTTTCAGGTAAGCCTGGATTTTCCTGTTCATTGAGAGTAGTAAAGCAAATTGGAATGTCAATTTTGATTTATTATATTCCTAGAGGAGGGTGTGCATGTCTGCTTTTCTTACAAGGCTGTCTAATCTACAGAGAGATTTAATTCTTCAGCAGGGATAATATTATGCCACTTATTTGATTGCAAATTTGTTTAAACAGCTTTTAGCTTTATATTTTCCCTTTAGGTAATGTATCTTTAGATACTAATTGCAAAATTGGCTTGACATGAGTCATACAGATTTAAAGTACAGTATATCTGGTCTGACTCCTGAATTTTAAGTGCCATAAGTATGATAGCTGAACTAGAACTGAAATTAATTCTAATTTCTTGGACTCTCTTTTGAGTGATCTGTGTCTAGGGAAGAAGGATATTTTGATGTATAGCAGTGGCCTTCAGGGATAATGTTTTGATATTGGAAGTGTGTGTGTGTGTGTTTTGTGGTTTGAGAGAAGTTCTAAGAGGTATGGTAAAATGATGAAATAAAAAAAACTTAGAATGAGTACTTGGCACAAAGCAAGAACATCCACTTTACCTATGATTTGGGGGTGGGGGAAGCTGCTGTTTGCTTTGACCAACGTTTTCTGTTTTTAAAATATTGTGAAGCTCCATATCTAACGTTTCTTTCCCCCCTCCCCCTTTTCTGGCAGGTTTAAGAGATGCTACAGGCTCTGAGAGTGATGGTGGTGACTCAAGCAGCACAAAATCAGAAGGAGCCAATGGAGCAGCAGCAATCCAACCCAAAAAGGTCAAGGGGATTGGTTTTGGAGATATCTTCAAAGACAAACCAATAAAGCTACGACCAAGGTCAATAGAAGTAGAAAATGACTTTCCACCAGTAGAAAAGGTACATATTGTAACTTAATTCTGTCTTGGTTGTCATCCCCAAAGTACTCAACTTTATGATAAGGTAGAACTGACAGCTTTATGGTTTCTTTCCTATTCCTTACTTTGACTAGTCCTTTTGTCATTTGTTGTGCCAAGTGCAGGAAAATAGATTCCTGTGAAGTTGGTAATAACCCATCTACTTAACTGCCTGGAAGAATGTTATTTCAGTGAAGGTTTTATTCCTGTGCTCACACCTCCACCCACTGGTCTTTGTTCTAAATAACTACCAGTGCAGGGAACAAGACTTCAGAATCTGTATTAGAACTGTGGTTACCCATATGACACCACAAATAATAATAATGCCCAGTTCTTATGCAAAGTAACATGGCAGCATAAAGTCACTCTGCCACCAAAAAGGAAATGTCAAAAAGTACCTAGAGAATTTAACTTTTAACTTGGTGCTTTGGATATGCATTTTAAAAAATGCATTGGGCAAACTTTTTATAGGGGACCTGCAGAGGGTGCAAATTGTTGCTATTCTTTTGTTTGTGTGACATATAAAGAAGATCCCAATTAACACTTTGGGGGGAAAACTCTTTGTTAAAGATTCAAATACCTTCACCCTTTCAGTTGAGCCCTCAGAGAGGTCCCTTCATTCTCTAGTCTCCAAGGAGAACCAGAGACACAAGAAGACAAGACTTAATATTTCTAATAAGCAGCGGGGGGGAGGGGGGGAAGCTTTTTAGTTTTTTTTCATGCCTTCTGTATATAATGAAGTATGTACCATAGTGAAAAAGGCACAAAATCCTTCCCCTCACCTTTATAAGCAACTATATTTATCTAATGTGTATGGATAATCTGATAAGTAAGGCTTGGTTTTGATAGACTTATGCATGCTTGGAATTCTGCTTATCTTTGGTAAAATTCAGATTAGGTTCTTCTGCAATGTAAACATTTATATGTGCTGTTTTAAAATGTTGAAAGAGGTTGTTACTACCACCAGAACGGGATAATGAAAGGTTGATAGTGATAGCTGCTTAGGACTGGATTCGTGTAGGCCCCAATTCAAGAAAGCATCTTTCTTTAGAAAAACACTTGTAGTCAATAGGATTTAAGCTTCTGCTTAAAATGAAGCATGTAGTTAAGTGCTGTCCTGGTCTGGGGCCATAAACTTTTCCTATTACATTAGAAAATGTGTATGTTTAGTAGTTCATTTCCAGCAGGTATATAGGTAAAGAAAACAAATACAGTGCATGCAGAAACAACGAGGAGTCTTTGTGGCACCTTAGAGACTAACAAATTTATTTGGGCATAAGCTTTCGTGGGCTAGAACCCACTTCATCAGATGCATGAACCGATGAAGTGGGTTCTAGCCCACGAAAGTTTATGCCCAAATAAATTTGTTAGTCTCTAAGGTGCCACAAGGACTCCTCGTTCTTTTTGCTGATACAGACTAATACGGCTACTACTCTGAGTGCATGCAGATATTCTGATGAGCTAGATGCACAGTCAGTATTTGCATGTTAAATAGTGTTTGTTTATGATTACTATATACACATTCACCTGTGAATGATGCACATATGGACCTTAACCAGAACTGTAGAGGTATTCAATATTCAATTATCCACATCTGATTCAGATGGCTTGGAATTGACAAACTGCAGTGCTCTGCAAATACCATATGATTAGGCTTGGGAGAATTCTATTTTTATCTGTGAATGTTGGTAAACTTTGATTTCCATGCACACACAAACCAACAAAAAAGTATTTCCATCAATGATAATTGAAATGTACAGATCGGTAAAGTAAAAAAAAATGCTGCTTGAGAACTTTTTTATTTAAGGATATTTACTTTGCATATTTTGACATGTGGGTATTGACTGTTTTAATGGCGATAAAGCTTTTTTTATTTCAGTGTCTACAATCATTAAATAATTGTCTGACACCCCATCCCGCAATGTTCCACAACTGAGAAAATTTAAAAATAATAAGCTTAAAAATAAATTTTGATATTATCCTTCAATATTATATTTAAAAAATTTAATTCTGCCAAGCCTACATATGATAGTTTTCTGTAAAGATACAGACAGTTTTGGTAAATGGGCTCTGTATAAAATAGGATATAGACCTGTTCACCTTTTAGTCACTCATCTAATATGGTCAAATTTGAGGTGTCCATCTGGTAGATATTAAATGGCTTTTGTGAAATGAGAGAAGGTCTTAGTCCACTTTTTGTTGGGCAGGAAGTATCATTATCCCTATTTTGCAGACGGGGAACTGAAAAGTGATTTGTCTAAGGTCAGACAGGAGGTCTGAGACATAGCCAGGAATTTAATCCAAAATCCTTAGAGTCTTAGCCTGGTGTCTTAATTACAAGACCATCCTTCTTCTGTATTCACATTTTCCTTAACAAATATTTTAATGGAATGTGATTACATCGTATTTGCAGTTAGAATACTTTATTTCCTGTATTTAGTAACTTCTCAGGCTGCAAGTAGGAAATGCTTGCATAACACTTACCATACGCACCCAACATTTAACAGCTAGAGCAGTGGTTCTCGGGGGGCCTTCCGGGGGGAGGGAGGGACATCAACTCATCTAGATAGTTGCCTAGTTTTACAAGAGGCTGCATAAAACGCACCAGCGAAGTCAGTACAAACTAAAATTTCATACAGACAATGACTGGTTTATACTGCTCTATATACGACACACTGAAATGTAAGTACAATATTTATATTCAAATTAATTTATTTTATAATTATATGATAAAAATTAGAAAGTAAGCAACTTTTTCAGTAATAGTGTGCTGTGACACTTTTATATTTTTATGTCTGATTTTGTAAGCAAGTAGTTTTTAAGTGAGGTGAAACTTGGGCATACGCAAGACAAATCAGACTCCTGAAAGGGATACAGAAGATTGGAAAGGTTGAGAGCCACTGAGCTTAGAGAGCCACTCAATCAAATGGAGTCTAAGAATGGCACAAAATAATCAATAAAAGATATTACCTCATCCACCTTGTCTTCCACAAAATAATCATATGATGTTGTTAGTCTTTGCCTGATCATGGCACACATTTATTATACACTGACACAACATCATCCTCTCTCTCTCCTATCCCCTTGGCTCTTGGCAGTTTCTCCCTCCTCTTCCATCTCCACCCCTATCTTCCTCAAGAGCTCATGCTGGCTGTTGGGAGGAAGAGGAACTCCATTTTTGCTTGTTGTGGAGGGAGGGAATACCAGTTGCTCCTGTTTCTTTATTCTTCTGTGTAATAAAGGGTAACTGAACAGCAATATAGGAGTTGCTGAGTTTGCTCAGTGCTCCCTGTGCTGCACAATATATTAGGTAGATGGTCCTGTGACTGACATTCTTGTGCGTCTCTTCTTGAGATCCAACTAAACTGAGTGGATCACTAATCAGTCATCTACACAGTGAGAGCTGCATGTAGGACTATAAAGAGCAATGTATAGAGAATTGCTGTTTTAAAGAACTTATACGTTTTGGTTGGCGGGAAGGCTGCTTTGGTTTTTAGTTCCTTTAAAACTTTTGTATTTATTAAGTCTCTTCTTAAACACCATTATTTCTGATAGTTCACCCTGATCATCTCAAATGGGGAGTGTCTCCACTCATCTCTTTTGTGAAGACAGGAGGAAAGGGAGAATTCACTTCACATAAGTTGCTCTTTACCCCTTTGCCACCCTTCTCCCCGCTGCACTTTTCCAGGTATGACATTAGACCTAAAAGCAGTTACAGAGTTGAACGCTAAAAATAGTTAGAACCAAAGCTCAAAATAAGGGACATGAGAACGATAGTAGCATATAGCATTTTGTAGCCTAGGAACATGATTCTGTAGCCACTCCATGCATGAAACGCCCACATCATGAGGTCCCTTGCTTTTGTACCTTTGTAGCTCTTCTGACACCAAACCACTCATTCTGGTCCATTTTTTTTTTTACCATTCCTTGCCTCCTCATCTCTAATCTACCATGAGATAATTCTCTGACTATAAAACTTCCATCTTAAGTGATTAACATTATCCATTGGTGCTTCAGTGGTAAAGTGTTAACAATGTAGGATTAATTTTTGTGTGTGCAAAAATATCATTTGGAAATTATGAACAGCACTTTGAAATTGTAAAGTGTAACACAAAATTCTCAAGAATATTATTTATCCTTTTTGGTATAAACAATTTACAGCAATAAAAGCTAATTAATGAGATAGGTAAAACACAGCTAGCTCTCAGATGAAGGACAGTTTAGATCTATACCTTTTACTAGGATTCTGAAACCATAATCTCATACAGGAAAACAGGTACAAAGGGAATGGAGCAGGAAATGGAAAATTGAGTTTAATAGAGAGGAACAAATTTGATAACCCAGACTGGCACTGAGTCTCTGCTGAATCGCTATTGGAGAGTGATGCATCAGTGAGCAGTGTCTCTTCTCATCTTCCATATTCCTTCCCCCTTCCTCAAACGTATCTGTGATATCACGATTTCACTCTTTGGATTGTAAAATGTTCAAGCTACTCTCTGATAAACGGGAATAACCCAGCTTTCAGTGAAATGGCTTTGCCCTGGGTTTTAACAGAGAACATGTAACTGTATCAGTGGCATTTTTAAAAAATGAGTCTACCACACAACAGTGCTCTGTGTCACTGAAGATCGTTATTTTTAAAAACTGTTATTGCAGTATAGACTACATAAATATAGGATGTTTTAACATTGCCTATACCACAGTGCCTTGCACATACATCACATACCAAAGTGAAGGAAAGCATTGTCCATATGGAGGAAATGCAGTTATAATATACATAACGACCACAGTTGGTTTTAGATTCCTTTCGCTTACTTGAGTTACTTAAAAACTGCATCGAGATCTACTGGTGAAAAGACTATATAACAGCTAGTGATGTCAGTAGCAATACTATGGAGAGTCTGGTTTTGATTACTGGTTGGGAGCCATGGACTTCTGCTGTGGTGGTGTACCCTGAAAAACAAAATCTATGAAATCTCAAAA